ACAGCCCCCAGAGCAAGACAGATTCCGGTCGTCCCTGCAGACAGCCCTCCCTGCTGCTGGTCTGTGACCAGGCTCATGGGTGCTCTGGCTCCTCCTGCCAGGGCAGTAGGAGGAAAACCAGCTGCAGGTTTTGACCTGTGGTCGTAGACTAGAATATCTTAACCTCAGCACCAGACAGTTTAGATGGCGTAATTCAAGATTGTGGGGGGCTGTCTTACACATATCGAGGTTTTTTGCAGTATCCCAACTCCTCACCCATTAGATGCCAATAGCACTTCCCAGTCGTGACAATCACAAGTGTCCATAGACACTGAAAATGTCTCTTGAGGGAAAGAATCATCCCCTGTCCCAAAGGAAGACAAATGATGTAGTGAATGGAGGCTAACATTTAAAGAGAAAGGAAAATCAGACTTCCTGGAGGTGCAGTGAATAAGAATCCACCTGCCTACGCAGGGAACATGGGTTCAATCCCTGGTCAGGGAAGATTCTATGTGCCGAGAAGCAACTAAGCTCGTGTGCCACAACTACTAAAGCGTACACACTCCAGGGTCTGAGAGCCACAGCTACAGAGCCTGCACTGCAGCTACTGAGGCATGTGCTCCTGGAGCCTGTGCTCTGCAACAGGAGAAGCCACCACAATGAGAAGTTCACCGCAATGAGAAGCTCTGCAATGAGAGAAAGCCCGTAGCAGCAACGAAGACCCAGTGCAGCCAGAAGTCAATAAAATAAAAAATAAATATAGAAGTGTAGATATATCAAGACATAATAAAAATAAATTTTAAAAAAAGAAGAAAGGAAAATCAGAATGCAACACATGTTGATAAGGTCAGTCCTCCTTGATGAAACTTCTATTTTGATTAATAATATATCCATGTATGTCCTAGATCATCTGGTAAAATTTTTTTAAGCTTTGACATTTCAGACTTCTAGAAAATTTTCAAAAGTACAAAGAACTTACATAGACCCCGATACTAACTTTCCACATTTGATTTCTCCTTCTTCTCCCCTCCCTCTCCTTCCGTCTTCTCTCTGTTTCTCAAATGCTCCCTATGAGCACAGGGGCCTTTTATACCAAAACACCACCCTCTGTGCTCTAAGTTGTCATTGCTAGTGTTTGGGTTTAGGTTCATAAGTGACAGTGATTTATAATTGTCCTCACCTGTGTTTTCCTTTCTAGGGTATTCTATGTGTCCTTTCAGGCCACACTGTCTACAGTTTGTGACAATTTCTGTATTGCATTTCTGTCTAGAAAGTTTTGAAAAATTACCAAAAAAATTCCCAAGGACCAAGTGTCCTTTTGGGTTATTATTTTTCTTTACAATGCTATTATTCATTCAGAATCTTTGTTTCTTTAACACATATTTTGATGTGTGTATGTTTGTTCCATTTGTTTGTAATATTAATTGGCCATTACCTGAGAGAGATTTCCCCCACCTTTAGAAATTGTTTGACTAATTTTTAGGTATCTTCCTCAGTCCTGATTTTTACTATCATGTAAAACTTTTTGTTTTTGTTGTTATACTACTGTTGTATTAATTTACTAGTGTTTTTGGACAATTAACTAAGGGTTTTATAAACATTTGTTTAAATGTGGAATTTTTGTTCTTAGCATTGTTTCTTATTTTCCATAATTTTCACCTTGAACTTGGTTCCTTTTCTAAATTTCTGAAACCTGAGTTCATCTGTCTTTCGTTATTGAAAAGAATATGAGCAAGTAGTAAAAATTTGTCAAACATACAATTTGGCGGTAAATTGTCACTGGGTTTTTTGTTATTTTCAGGTTAAAAAATGTTCTTTATATCTTGGATATCCTAAGCTTACACAGACTATTTCCAAGTCTTAAAAAAATTAACAAGTAGTGCACATTTTAATTCTATTGTTTGTATGCACTTATACTGTATAATTTAGTATTCTGAGGCTATTTCACATACAGTTTCTGTTCATTCACTAGAGAATTCAAAAGGTCAATAGTAGAGCTGGAGGGAATTATGGAAGGCCATGCAGGAGACCAGAGGCTGGACTTCTTGACTGGATAACGGACACTATATGTTTTGATGTCCTGAACAATGTTCTCTAAAATATTAGAACTCGTCAACATGTTACAGTCAAGCAAGAGCACATGTAAATCCAGAAGACATAGCTACACTGACACGGAATATTAGCGAGACAACCACTGGCTGCATCAGGCCCTTCAGCCCTCTCTCCAGTTTCCCAAGTCCCCACTGCCCCTTACGGCCTTCCACACACCCACTGCCCCCACCAATGGGACCCCTGGGCCTGGTGGCTGAGTCTGAGAGTCTTCTCCTCCAGTCCTCCTCTTCCTCCTGCAAAACTGACGTCTTCCTCCTGACGAGGCCACCTGTGCTCCGGGCCCATCCCTGTCCTCAGTTCCTTGCCCTGGCAGACACTGCCTCTTTCTCCTGCCTTCAACCTCCCTCCCTCTCAGTGCCCCTTGGTGTTTGAACACTGAAAATCTCTTCCATACTTAAAAATTTCTCCCAGCTGACATCCAGCCTTTATTACCCAGGATTGTCTTACTCTCATAGCTACTATATGACGGGATCACAGTGATTGTTTTTTGAAAAAAAGGAATGAAGGACAGATGAATAAATTACATTATATTACAGTATCAGCTTTATCTACTTTAAAAGTTATTATTCTCTTTGTTAATTTGAAACAGCCATTTTCTTCATGGAATCTAGTCAGGTTTCTGTTCTAAGCTCAAGATGTGTAAAACCCAGAATGGCAACTCCTTAATGTGCTATGAAACATATAATTATCAAGAGGGCCAGCACTTTTGTGTTTGCATGGCCACCATCGTCTCCCTGTGGACAAACCAGACCAGGGTATCCACCTGACCTGAGCCACATCCTGAGTCTGCATCCAGAGCTGAGCCCTGAAGACTGGCAGGATAGGGACTAGAGGAACATAGAGGGACTGAGCTCTGCTGGTCTCTGCTGACACACTCTCCCTTCTCCCCAATTTAGCAGAGATGTGCACTCTGTGATTTAATGTGAATTAGATAAAGTCTATCTGTATCCTCAACCCCTTGGTGGTTTGAAACTTTTACTGAATACCTAGTTCACATTAGTTTAGTCTGAACAAAGTGTTACCTAGTTTAACTTATTTTTCTAGTGCATCAACCTTGAATTATTTAAAAAAATATGTATTCATTTATTCGTCTGCGCTGGGTCTTAGTTGTGGTATGGGGGATCTTTGATCTTCCTTGTGACCTGTGGGATCTTTTTTTTTTTTTAGTTGTGGCATGCAAACTCCTAGTTTTGGCTTGTGGGATCTAGTTCCCCAGCCAGGGATCGAACCTTGGCCCCTTGCATTGGGAGCATGCAGTCTTAGCCACTGGATCATCCAGGAAGTCCCTCAACCTTGTGTTTTAACTTGTAGACCCATTTGTTTTTAAATGTTCTTCTCATCTGTTTTCATATATCCACTAATTTGTAACACTCTTTAAACGAAGAAGAGGAAACACAGGCCAACTTATGTCCTATTCTCCTAAATTTGAAATAGTCTTCAAACTTCCAAGAAGAACACTGACAGGTAGAAGCTGGGTTTCTGGAGGTTATATCACAGAGTGAATTCAAAGGACACTTGAACCATCCTCTCATACAGAGAACCACACAGGGGTCAGGAGGCAGGATGAAGGCTGGAATCTGTGGACCTGGACAGCTGAGGGTGTGCTGGGCCCACTCTGACTGTGGTCCTGTGCACCGTCCTTCAGGTTCCTGACTGCCATCCCTTCTGGCAACTCTCTGCTACAAGAGAGGAGACTGACTACTCCGAGGACAGCTCTTCCCCTTTCAGTCACATTCCTTCTGTGACCACCATTCTCCCCATCACTGTATCATGTGAGGGGCATCTAGCTGGCTTTCAGGATATTTCTGGACTGCACTTTGATATCTTCTTTGCTGGGCCTGGTTCTGGATTTAGATTCATGATCCAAACCATAAACTAGTTGATTAATTTACATTTGATCACTTTCACTCTTAGAACAGCAGGGAAGGGCTGGGTCCTCCATAGGCCCCGAAGAAAGGCACTGAGACACGTTTTCTTGACCTGGGTGATTCTTCCTATCCCAGTGATAGGCTTTTCTTCCAAGACTTGAGGCTGTTAGGGATCGTAACTGATTGAGGAGCTTTAGGATTGCCTGGAGTCCTGTTCTTCCTGTGACAGGTGCCAATTAAACTCGCAATTTGAGGGCACCTGCTCTTGGCCTAAACTTGGTGGTCAGAGTTTCCCAGAGCTCGCGGGATCTCTGAAGCCCAAGGGCATAACTATGCGGTTCCTGAGAGGGAAGGGAAGGCAGAAGAGCCTTGCTGCTGTTGATTCCGGTTTGTTTCCTGAGCGTGCCGCCAACTCCACCGACTTAGCAGAGAGCTGACTGGGATCAGGAACCAGGTGAGCCCGACCCCGGGGGTTCTTGGCATCTCTGAGCCCACACCATGTCTTTGGAGACCCCTTGGCTCTGAGGCGGAAATAGGTCTCATTTTCGTTTGCCCAGGGCTGCATCTGGGAAAGGCCTCGCCGAGTTGGGGGTCGCGCTGGGGGTCGCGCTGGGGGTGGGGCCTAGAAGAGGGGCGGGTGCTTCCGGTCGCGCCTTCACCGCCGGGTCAGAGGATAAATTTCCAGCCCAGCCCCTGTGAAGTGTTTCCACTCGGTACGGAAACCAGCCCCATGACCTTGATTCTTGGTTACTGGGACATCCGCGGAGTGAGCTGGGGTCACCAGGGCGGGAAGGATGGAGGCCGGCAGGGTAGGGAGGGTTGGGGGTGGGAAATGCTGTGCAACGGGGATTGATTTCACTAGAATATTCCTGTTCAGAGCTTGGTGGAGCCAAGCCCAAAGTCCTATCCCTCTGCTCTTTCTTTCTCAAGCGGGGCTTGTGCGCGGGAGTGTGGGTGGGGGTTGGTGTTGAGGTTGTGGGAACACAGAAAGTCAGGTACTTAGGACCTGACATCTGCTCTCCCTCCGGCCATCTCTCTCAGCTGGCCCACGCCATCCGCCTGCTCCTGGAGTACACAGACTCAAACTATGAGGAGAAGAAGTACACGATGGGGGACAGTAATGGCATCCTTGTCATGTCCTGACTTCTGCCCAACTCATGCTGGTTTGGTGCCAAGCATCCCATGTTCTGACCCCTGTTGTTCACGTCTGTCGCCCTCCCCTCCAGCCTGCCCAGCTGGAGCAGGGACCTGCCCCTTCCCGAGCCCTTTAGGGTGCAGCTGGCCTCCAAGGAAGGATATGAGAGCCCACAGGTCCTGTATCAACCATTGGCACAGGCTCCCCCTAGTGCTTACCTAAACCCTCTGTTCCCATTCCAGTGTTCTTGCCTGGAGAATCCCAGGGACGGGGGAACCTGGTGGGCTGCCTTCTATGGGGTCGCACAGAGTCGGGCACGACTGAAGTGACTTAGCAGCAGCAAACCCTTTGTAAGGATTACTCACCTAGTTTCAAGAAGTTTCTAAGTTGGTTTTTCCCCTCAAAGCTCCATGTGAGACTTAGTGGTTCAGATTCCAGATTCACCAGTTCAGGGGCGGGGGGGTCTTGCCTCTACTCCTTGCTGGGTCCCCCTGGAAAGGAGGGTTGGATTCCTGGGAGGTTGTTTCATTCCATCTTCTTCTTCACAGCTCCTGACTATGACAAAAGCCAGTGGCTGAATGAAAAATCCAAGCTGGGTCTGGACTTCCCCAATGTAGGTACAGGCGCTGGGGTGCTGGGAGGGGGAGTGGACAGTGTCTCTATCCATCTTCTTTCCTGGCTTAGAGGTTTCAGGAACTGGTGCCTTTTGCTCTGCCTCTCAACTTCCTGGTTCTGTTTTCTGCCTTTCCATGATGCTCTGTGTCCCAGTTCATCCCTTCATTTTACAGCATATCATTTAGTGTCTGCCAGAGAAGGAAATGGCAACCCACTCCAGTACTCTTGCCTGGAAAATCCCATGGATGGAGGAGCCTGGTAGGCTGCAGTCCATGGGGTTGCTAAGAGTCGGACATGACTGAGCGACTTCACTTTCACTTTTCACTTTCATGCATTGGCAAAGGAAATGGCAACCCACTCCAGTGTTCTTGCCTGGAGAATCCCAGGGACGGGGGAGCCTGGTGGGCTGCCGTCTATGAGGTTGTTCAGAGTTGGACACGACTGAAGCGACTTAGCAGCAGCAGCATTTAATGTCTGCAGTGGGCCAGGCTCTGTGAGTGCCAGGTTTCATCTCTGCTCTTACTCAAAGACGGAGATGCAGGTGGCCCAAGTGACCAGGCCCTGTTGTTCTTCCAGCTGCCCTACTTAATTGATGGGACTCACAAGCTAACCCAGAGCAATGCCATCCTTCGCCACATCGCTCGCAAGCACAACATGTGTGAGTGGGCACAGGGTTGGGGGCAGGGTCACAGGTGGCCATGCCCTGGGCTGGACTGGGGTGGATGCCGAGGTGAGTCTGCTGTGTGGCCACAGGTGGGGAGACAGAAGAGGAGAAGATTCGAGTGGACTTACTGGAGAACCAGGTTATGGATGTCCACTTACACATGGCCAGGATCTGCTACAGCCCTGACTTTGTGAGTCCTTTCCCATTGGACTGGACAGGGTTTGAAATGCTGGACACAGTCCTCTACACTGGAGAATCTTAGGAAAGACCAGCTTCCTCTGGGTGGAAATTCAGTTCCTAGACAGGTGTTTACATTGTTAATCCAGTGTCTCCTTCTTGACATCTCTGGCATAAACACAGGTGCCTAGTAGGCAGCCCGGGGTCAGACTTTATTCCTCTCCCTCTTGTCTTTCAGCCTCTCAGATTCTCTCCAACTGTCCAGAAACTGCTCAGGCGTCTACACCATTTCTGACTCCCAGACTAGAACATAGGACTTTTTTCCTAGTCATTCTAGTGTTTATTGGCCTGAGGTCTGAGGCCTGAGCTCTGCCAGGTCTCAGAGCACTGATGGTCTGACCCCGGGCAGGTGTCTGGAGCTGAGTGGTGACAGGTTCTGGAACAGTGTGGTTTTGCCCTTTGTCTTCCCATCGCTTCTCACAGATGGGAGGTGGTACCCATAGGAGTCTGATGAACACAAGTGGGTTGAATTGCAGCCTGGGCACTGACCCAGGTGCAGTCAGGGGACATGGCCGCTCACCTGATAGCTGGAATCAGACACAGCCCTGGGAGGCCCGCTGTCTGCCAGGGAGCCTGTCTGAAGGCAGTGACAGCTGTTTTGTGTCTCAGGAGAAACTGAAACCTGGTTACTTGAAGGAAATTCCTGGAAGGATGAAGCTCTTCTCAGTTTTTCTGGGGAAGAGATGTTGGTTTGCAGGGAACAAGGTAAGGGGGATGGCTTCCGGGGAGGGAGAGCTGTCATTTTTCCCCAGGTTCAGAGTTTGGTGCGCATTCATGCTTTGTCTTCCTGCAGCTCACCTATGTGGATTTCCTGGCTTATGACATCCTTGATTTGCAACGCATATTTGAGCCCAGGTGCTTGGATGAATTCCCAAACCTGAAAGATTTCCTCACCCGTTTTGAGGTCATTCCCATGCTCCCCCTAGTATTTATGTCTCTTCTCCCGCCTTTCCCTGATGCTTTCCTGCGTGTATGCATGCTGAGTTGCTTCAGTCATGTCCAACTCTTTGTGACCCTACAAACTGTAACCTGCCAGGCTCCTCTGTCCATGGGATTATCCAGGGAAGAATACTGGAGTGGGTTGCTATGCCCTTCTCCAGGGGATCTTCCCAATCCAAAGATCGAACCTGCATCTCCTGCATTGGTAGATGAGTTCTTTATCACTAGTGCCACCTGGGAAGCCTGGATGATTTCCTAGTTGGCACTACAGTGAAGAATAGCATTTATGGAGAACTTGGTTTATGCCAGAATCTCTGCTCAGCAATGACATATATTGTGTCAAATTTAATCTTTATAACATTACTACATGGTAGAAAAATTATCCTCTTCATTTTACAGATAAGGAGTCAACCTGAAAGGACAAGTAGTTTCTGCAGGTCACAGAACCAGTACAGGCTGTGCTGGGCTCCTAGTCAGAGTGTCTGACTTCCATGGGCAGCATCAGTGGCTCCTCATTTGCTGTAGGAATAAAACCCTCGGGTCCCTTTCATGACTGGCTCACAGCTCTAGAAAGTGTGGAGGAAGCAGAACCTTTAGGAGATAATATTCAGCTGGCATTAGTAGAGTGAGACACAGTAGTATTAATATCAAGGACTAAAAAGACAATATTTTCTCCTCATTTCCAAAGGGCTTTGCAGCAATTGAGTCTCTGCCTGTTGTTCTGAGATTCTCAGAGCTGTAGTTGATGGCTTCCCTGGTGACTCAGATGATAAAAAATCTGCCTGCACTGTGGGAGACCCTGGTTTGATCCCTTAGTTGGGAAGATACCCTGGAGAAGGGAATGGCTACCCACTCTAGTATTCTTGCCTGGAGAATTCCATGGATAGAGGAGCCTGGGGGGCGGGGGCTATAGTCTGTGGGGTTCCAAAAAGTCGCATATGACTGAGTGACTAACATAACATTTCTGCTAACATAATATAGATGTCCTGTGCAAGGATTTTATCTTGACTTCTCATTTGGTGGGCACGTTCCTTCCCTCCTCATCTCCCATCCTGTCTTCCTTCCCGTTACTCCAGATTCTGTCTGAAAGATGGGTTAGTATTTTCATTTTAAGTCACATTCACTGATCTGATCCTCTCCCCTGTATGAGACACTGTGTCAGGCACAAGGGGGATACAAATGTCACACAGTCCTGGTGCCCTGCGTCTGGGGCTCAGTGCAGCTGGAGAACTATAGGAACCTTGATCTGTGTGGTGTGGGTGGGGCCACCTTAGTTCTGGAGGAGCACAGCCTGACCTCACCTCCCAGCTCATCATTCACCCAACTGGAGAGCAACAGAGTCTGCTTTGTGATGGATATGGAAATTTGAATCTCTTGTCCAAGAGGTTTTTCAGTCTACAGTCTGTTTTGTATGCCCACTTCTATCATGAAATCTGCTTTCTCAGCTAGTTCTCATCAGCTCTGGTTTTGGTCCAAGGCTTGGTGCCTTGAGAATTTTGCAAGAGCTGGGGTGACTGCCCAGCAGGGAGGATGGGAACAGATGTGGCCTGCAGTGTGTGGCCTGTTGGGGCCTGGGCTGTGGGGTATAGGCAGCCCTAGATCTTGGAGTCCTGGGAACTCTTGGGCACTGTCTGTCTTGCGAAGATGGTGCACAGGGACACCTGAGTGTTGCTGCCTGGCTGGCTGTAGTAGGACTGAGGATGAGGTAGGTTGAGGCCCTGTGAGAGTGGGCTCAGGTCCCAGTCCAGGCAATTGGTCTGTGTCTTTAAGTGGAAAAATTAGAGTCTGGCCTAGCCTAGTCTTGTTGCTTCAACCCTCCTATCATGTTTCATCCATGTTTTCCTGAATAATTGGGTGAAATGTGGTCTCTTCTGCAAGTTGCTTGGGCACTTTCTGAGCACTTTTGTTTTTCTGGGGCCCATCTCTCTGTGGAAACTCTTGCAACTAGGAGCCTTTTCTGAGAAAGAGAATAATTTTGGAGAATAAGAAAAACAAATACTCTTATGACCAGATGTCAATTGGGAAAAAAACCTCACAACTTAAGAACAGTGTTGTTCAGTTGCTCACTTATGTCTAACTCTTTGCAATCCCATGAACTGCTGCACACCAGGCCTCCCTGTCCTTTACCATCTCCCGGAGTTTGCGTGAACTCATGTCCGTTGAGTCGATGATGCCATCCAACCATCTCACCCTCTGTTGCCCTGTTCTCTTGCCCTCGATCTTTCCCAGCATCGGGGTCTTTTCCAGTGAGTCAGCTCTTCCTATCAGGTGGCCAAAGTATTGGATCTTCAGCTTAAGCATCAGTCCTTCCAGTGAATACTTAAGGTTGATTTCCTTTAGGACTGACTGGTTTGATCTCCTTGCAGATCAAAGGACTCTCAAGAGTCTTCTCCAGCACCACAGTTCAAAAACATCAATTCTTTGTCGATGAACCTTCTTTATGGTCCAGCTCTCACATCCATATATGACTACTGGAAAAACCATAGCTTTGACCAAACAGACCTTTGTTGGCAAAGTGATGTCTCTGTTTTTTAATATGTTGTCTAGGTTTGTTATAGCTTTCTTTCCAAGGAGCAAGTGAAAGTGAAAGTCACTCAGTCATGTCTGACTCTTTGTGACCACATGGACTGTAGCCTGCCAGGCTCCTTTGCCCATAAAATTATCCAGGCAAGAATACTGGAGTGGGTAGCCTTTCCCTTCTCCAGGGAGTCTTCTCAACCCAGGAATCAAATCCAGGTCTCCCACATTAGGCAAATTCTTTACCATCTGAGCCACCAGGGAAGCCCTTCAAGGAGCAAACATCTAATTTCATGGCTTCAGTCACTGTACACAGTGATTTTGGAGCCCAGGAAAGTAAAATCTGTCAGTGCTTCCACTTTTTCCCTCTTCTATTTGCCATGAAGCAATGGAACTGGATGCCATGGTCTTATTTTTTTGAATGTTGAGTTTCAAGCCAGCTTTTTCACTTTCTCTTTCACCTTTATCAAGAGGCTCTTTAGTTCCTCTTCACTTTCTGCCATTAGAGTGGTATTATCTGCTTATTTGAGGTTGCTGATGTTTTTCCTGGCAATCTTGATTCCATCTTGTCATTCATTCGGACAGCATTTTGCATCATGTATTCTGCATGTAAGTTAAATAAGCAGGCTGACAGTATGTAGTCTTGTCTTACTCCTCTCCCATTTTTGAACCAGTTCATTGGTCCATCTAAGGTTCTAACTCTCCTACATACAGGTTTCTCAGGTGATTGATAGATAAGTGGTCTAGCATTTCCATTTCTTTAAGAATTTTCCACGCAGTCAATGAAGCAGAAGTGGATGTCTGTCTGGAACCCCCTTGCTTTTTCCATAGTCCAACAAATGTTGGCAATTTGATCTCTGGTTTCTCTGCCTTTTCTAGACAGCTTTTACATCTGGAAGTTCTTGGTTCATGTACTGTTGAAGCCTAGCATGAAGGATTTTGAACATAACCTTGCTAGTGTGTGAAATAAGTGCAATTGTACAGTAGTTTGAACATTCTTTGGCATTGCTCTATTTTGGGACTAGGATGAAAACTGACCTCTTCCAGACTGTGGCCACTGATCAGTTTTCAAAATTTATTGACATATTGAGTGCAACACTTTAACAGCATCATCTTTTAGGACTTTCAATAGCTCAGGTGGAAGTCTGTCGCCTCCACTAGCTTTGTTTGTAGTAATGTTTCTTAAGGCCCACTTGACTTCACACTCCAGGATGTCTGGCTCTAGGTGAGTGGCCACACCATTGTGGTTATCTGGGTCATTAAAATCTTTTTTGTGTAGTTCTTCAGTGTATTCTTGTCACCTCTTCTTAATCTCTTCTGCTTCTGTTATGTCCTTACCATTTCTCTTTTATTGTGCCCTTCCTTGCATGAAATGTTCCCTTGATCTCTCCAATTTTCTTGAAGAGATCTCTAGTTTTTCCCATTCTTTCCCATTCTGTTGTTTTCCTCTACTTTGCATTGTTCATTTAAGAAGGTCTTATCTCATTCAATAGATCTTGCTATTCTCTCAGATTCTGCATTCAGTTGAGTATATCTTTCCCTTTCTCCTTTGCCTTTCACTTCTCCTTTTTCCTCAGCTATTTGTAAAACCTTCTCAGACAACCATTTTGCCTCCTTGCATTTCTTTTTCTTTCAGATGATTTCGGTCACTGCCTCTTGTCCAGTGTTATGAATCACCATTCATGTTCTTCAAGCACTCTGTCTACCAGACCTAATCTTTTGAATCTATTAATCACCTCCACTGTATAATCATCGGGGAATGGATTTAGATACTACCTGAATGGTCTAGTGGTTTTCCCTACATTCTTTAATTTAAACCTAAATTTTGCAATAAGGAGCTGATGATCTGAGCTCCAAGTTTTGTTTATACTGACTGTGTAGAGCTTCTCCATCTTTGACTGCAAAGAACCTAAATTTTGACTGCAAAGAACATAATCAATCTGATTTTGGTATTGGCCATCTGATGATGTCCTTGTATAGAGTTGTCTCTTGGTTTGTTAGAAAAGGGTGTTTACTATGACCAGCTTGTTCTCTTGACAAAACTCTGTTAGCCTCTGCCCTGCTTCATTTGTGTACTCCAAGGTCTAACTTGCCTGTTATTCCAGGTATCTCTTGATTTCATAGTTTTCCATTCCAATCCCCGATGATGAAAAAAGACTGCTTTGTTTTGATATTAGTTCTAGAAGGTGTTGTAGGTCTTCCTTGAATTAGTCAACTTCAGCTTCTTTGGCATCAGTGGTGGGGGACATAGATTTGGATTACTGTGATGTTGAATGGTTTGTCTTGGAAACGAACCAAAATCATTGTGTCGTTTTTGAGATTGCACCCAAGTACTGCGTTTTGGAGTCTTGTTGACTATAAGGGCTATTCCATTTCTTCTAAGGGATTCTTCACCACAGTAGTAGATATAATGGTCATCTGAATTAAATTCTCCCTTTTCCATCCATTGTATTTCACCGATTCCTAAGATGATGTTTAATCTTGCCATCTCCTGCTTGACTACAAGCAATTTACCTTGATTCATGGACCTATCGTTCCTGGTTCCTATGCAGTATTATTCTTGAAAGCATCAGACTTTGCTTTTACTACCAGATACATCCAAAACTGAGCATTATTTCTGCTTTGGCCCAGCCGCTTCATTCTTTCTGGAGCTTATGCATCTTAACCATCTAGGGACCATGTATCCAAAACATAGAAAGGTTCATCTTGTTTTTTCCCATCACGAATTGCCTTGCAGGCACTGTTGGTGGGTAACTGCGCTGAGGGTCACTTAACTCTTTGTGTAAGTGGATGATGAGTGAGCCTCCTTGTTTTCAGCTATGGGGGAGGGGGTGCAGCAGAGAGACTCAGAATGGAGAGGGAGAGTGAGCAGGCTGCATTCTAGCCATGTTATTTATGTGCAGTGTGAGCATGAGGGAGGTGCTTATCTTCTGTGTGCCTCAGTTTCCTTTCTGACAAATGGTCTCAGTAGAGTCCACTTAGAAGGGAGTTGTGTAGAGATTCTGAACCTATGTCATCATGTCTAGTGGATTACAGCACCATTTAATACAGTATAAAGTCTCTGTATGTGATAAGTCTGGATGTCAAATGAATTACAGGAAATTGGAAGAGTTAGCTTTCCAGAGCTGGGGACCCCAGAAGACTATCTTTTGCCCCAACATTTGACTCCCACATGGAAGGGCTGTACCCCAGGTCCCAAATGTGGGGAGAGCTGCCTGGGTTCCAGTGGGGCAGCATACCTGAGGCCTGGTGTTCTTTTCCCCACCCTCAGGGCCTGAAGAAGATCTCTGCCTACATGCAGTCCAGCCGCTTCCTCCCAGGCCCTCTGTTCCTGAAGCTTGCCGTGTGGGGCAACAAGTAGTGCCTGCAACCAGGAGACGGGCGTGAGGAGCCAGGGCCCCGGAGACCAGGCGGACCTTCCTGCACACAGAACCTTCTGTCTTTTTCTTTCTCCTTCTGTTCACTCTAGATGGCTGCTTGGCCCCCTTATCTCCCTCCCACACCCCTTTCCATCCTTATTTTAAAGATTCAGTTTCCCACTATTTTTGAGCAAAGTTCCTCCCCCACCCCACATTACTCCTCCTGCACTAAAGCCACCTGGGCTATCCTTCCCTTTCATGATTCCTTCTGCTCTGAGCAGCCTAGCCAGGCTCCTGGCCTTGGAGCTCTGTTCTGAGCTCCCAGCACTGCCCTGAAGACCAGACCTGGCCTGGTGTGCAGGCCCTGCTTCCCAGTGTGGTTCCTGCCCAGCCTGTCTGATGCCCAGTAAAGCCTTATCACATTTGCTGTGTCTTGTCTTATTCTTTCGGGGCTTCCTGGAGTCATGAATGACTGTGTTGGGTGTGTGGGGATGTTTTCCCCTTTGTTGTCCACTTCAGGGCTCCATGGATGGGTATGGGTGTGTGTGGGGTGGGGTGGGGTAGATTGTTGGGGATAAGTAGGTTATATGATTGCTTGTTCATTTCTATCTCCACTTCATGCACCTCCGTTCCTTAGCATCAAGTCTCTGCAGAAGGGGAGGCCTTCTGTGCCTGGTTCCCTCTAATTTAGCATTCATGGGATGCCTCCTGTCAGCTTGCAGTACTCTGTGTCATGGTTCAGGGGGCTCTCGGGTGCTGGGGAAGGGGTCTGAATAGTCTACAGATGGTGTGGGATCCTGGTGGATTCGCTTCTGTCACCCTTTCCTGGAAGCTTAACCTGCTTTAGATACCCTTCATCCACATTCTTACAACATGCATGTGTGCATGCATGCACAGTTGTGTTCAGCTGTTTGCAACCTTATGGATCTAGCCTGCCCGGGTTCTTTGTCCATGGGATTGTCCAGGCAAGGATTGTGGAGTGGGTTGCTATTCCCTTCTCCAGGGAATCTTCCTGACCCTGGGATCAAACCTGAGCCCCCTGCATTGACAGCTGGATTTGTTACCACTGAGCCACCTGGGAAGCTCTATTTTTAAATACTTTTTTGCAGTATACCAACTTTGTGTATTAACTTTCAAAATTTATTTGCTTTTTAAAGCATTAATTACCTATATCCACTCATTAATTACCTATATCTACTAGTTTGTAATATCCTTTCAACAAGGAAAAGAAACCACAGTCCAACCTATGTCCTATTCTCCTTATTTTGAAATAAACTTCTGCCTGCAAAGAGGAAAGGTGGCAGGTAGGACATTATTCTTGTGCAGATTGTACCTCAGGTCAGAGATCACAGAGTGACATCAAAAGACACTGAGCCCTCACACTACTATGTATAAGATGGATTACCAGTAAGGACATGCTGTATAACGCAGGGAACTCTACTCAATATTCTGTGATAATCTATCTGAGAAGAGGATCTGAAAAAGAGTGAACATCTGTATATGGATAACTGAATCACTTTGTTGTACACCCGAAGCTAACACACCATTGTAAATCAACTATAATATACTTTTTTAAAAGACACAGATCACTCTCTTAAAATCACATTGGGTCAGGAGGCAGGGTGAGAGCTGGAATCTGTGGATCTAGGCAGCTGAGGGTGTGTGGGGCCACTAGACTCTGGTCCTGTGTGGAGTTGTATAGGCTGTCACGCCTCTCTGGACACCCTCTGGGGCCATGCACTCAGAAGACTGGTCTCCCCTGGGTCGCTTTCCCACCACACTCCCTGTCACTGTCCCATCAATGTGAGAGACACAGAGCTGTCTCTCAGAACATCTCTTAGAGCTGCACCTGGGTACCCTCTCTGCTGTGTGTGGATCTGGATTTTGATTCACAAGTGAGGCCATAAACTACTTGATTAATTTATGTTGTATCTTCATTTTTAGGCACATGAGGAGGGCAGGGTCCTACACAGTCCCTGAAAGGAAGACATGGAGGCCATATTTCCTTTCTCTGCCTCCTCACCTCTTTCTATCGCACCGATAGTCTGTCTGGAAGACGGCAGCTATCATGGGTTATATTAATAAATCATGGGGGAGCGTTAGGATTGCCTGGGGTTCTCGCTTTCCTGTAACACGGGCTGATTTAATGTTATAATTCAGGCTTGTTTCCCAAGGGCACTACCAACTCCCCCGGTGAGCTGACGTCTAACTGGGGTCGGGAACCAGGCGAGCCCGACCTCGGCGGCCTTTGATCTCTAGGCGCTCAGAGATTGGCTCCCAAAGCAATCTGCTGAGACAAGAGTAGACCCTGTTCTGCCGGCCGGGGGCTGAGTCAGGGGCTGAGTCAGGGGCTGAGTCAGGGGCTGAGTCAGGGGCTGGGCTGGGGGCGGGGCCGAGGAGAAGGGCGGGTGCTTCCGGGCCCGCTTTCTCCCGGATTCAGAAGACGTTTCAAGCCTAACTGCAGTGGAGCTTCTGCACTCTGAGCATCATAACCTGCACCATGCCCATGATCCTGGGTTACTGGGACATCCGCGGGGTGAGCGGGGGTCCCCCAGGGCGGGGAAGATGAGGCGGGTGGGGAAATGCTGCGCCACGCTGGGAAAATGCTGCAAAGTTGAGGTCGGTTCAAACCAGAAACTTCCAGAGGACTTGCTGCCGCGGAGCCCCTCTCCCCTCAGCCCGGTCATCTTATCGGGTGTTGGCATGAGTGTGTGTGGCGTGGGTGGGCTGGTGCAGGTGATGGCGCTGAGGGAGTTGGAGGTGTGGAAGTGACCTGGAACAGTGAGAGTTTTGCAGTCAAGACTGACGTCTGCCCTCTGTCCCGCCGTCTCTCCCAGCTGGCCCATGCCATCCGCCTTCTCCTGGAGTACACAGACACAAACTATGAGGAGAGACAGTACTCGGTAGGAGATGGTAATGGAATCCTTTTCCTATTCTAACTTCTGCTCAACTCATGCTGATTTGTTGCCAAGCAACTCATATTCTGCCCTTGTTACTCCCATCCTTTAACTCCACCAGCTGGAAAAGGGACTTGCCCCTTCCCAAACCCTTTGGGGGTGCAGCTGTCCCCCAAAGCAGGACATGAGAGCCCCTTGGGCTCCACTTAGTGCTTGCATCAGCTCTCTGTAAGCCTAAACTCAGGGATGTTCCAAATCCTTCTAAGTGTGCTTTCCCCCAAAGCTCCATGTGAGATTAGAATCCAGTTCAGATTCCAGATCCACTACTTTAGAGGGTCTTGCCTCTGATTCCTTGGTAGGTTCCCTGGGAAGGAGGGTTGGATTTGTGGGAAGTTGTTTCACTGTATCTTCTTGTTCTCAGCTCCCGACTATGACAGAAGCCAGTGGCTGAATGAAAAGTTCAAGCTGGGCCTGGACTTCCCCAATGTAGGTGCAGGGGCTGGGGTGCTGGGAGGGGGAGTTGACAGTGTCTCCATCCATCTCCTTTCCTGCCTTAGAGGTTTCAGGAGCAGGTGCCTTCTGCTCTGTCTCTCAGCTTCCTGGTTCTCTCCCCTGCCCTTCCATGATGCTCTGTGTCCCAGCTCATCCCTCCATTTTACAGCATATTATTTAGTGCCCACCATAGTATTTAGGCTCTGTGAGGGCCAGGTTTCATCTCTGCCCTTGGTCAACGGAGCGGGTACCGGGGAGTCTGGTGGCCCAAATAACCAGACCCTGTTGTTCTTCCAGTTGCCCTACTTAATCGATGGGACTCACAAGCTCACCCAGAGCAACGCCATCCTTCGCTACATTGCTCGCAAGCACAACATGTGTGAGTGGGTCTGGGGTTGGGGGAGGGGTGCAGGTCGTCATGCCCTGGGCTGGCCTGGAGGGGATACTGAGGTTGAGTCTCTGTTGTGTGACCACAGGTGGGGAGACAGAGGAGGAGATGATTCGTATGGACATTTTGGAGAACCAAGTTATGGATGTCCGTTTTGCCATGGCCAGGATCTGCTACAGCCCTGACTTTGTGAGTCCTGGCGGGACGGTGTGAGATGCTTGTCAGGATCTCATCTACTGGTCTTTTAGATTTTTTACTTCCTTAGAGCTACTTATCCACCAAGACATTTTTCTGAAAACTCTGATTCAGTTCCCACCAATTAGAAGAGTCTGGCTTCTCCTGGATGGAAAGTCACTTCCTAGACAGGATATTTTCCTCCTTACTCTAGCACCTCCTCTCCGCATCTAAGGCCTAAACACATGTGTCCAGTGGGCAGCTCAGGGTTAGTCTTTATTCCTCTCCCTCCTTCCTTTCAGCTTCCAGTTCTCTCCAACTGTCCAGAAACTGCTCAGGCACCCACACCATTCCCGTCTCCCACACTGGAACATAGGACTTCTTTCCTAGTCATTTTAGTGTTGATCAGCCTGAGGTCTGAGGACCAAGCTCCACCAGGTCTCACAGCACTGCTGGTCTGACCCAGGGCAGGTGTCTGGAGCTGAGTGGTGTCAGGTCCAGGAACAGTGTGTTTCTGCTCTTTGCCTTCCCATTGCTTCTCACAGATGGGAGGTGGTACCCATAGGAGTCTGGTGAACACAGGTGGGTTAAATTGCCCCTGGGCCCTGACTCATGTACAGTCAAGGGACGTGAGTGCTCACCTGACAGCTGGGATCAGACACAGCCCTGGGAGGCCTGCTCTCTGCCAGGGAGTCTGTGTGTGAGGGTGGTGACAGCTGTTTTGTGTCTCAGGAGAAACTGAAGCCTGGTTTCTTGAAGGAGATCCCTGAAAAAATCAAGCTGTTCTCAGAGTTTCTGGGGAAGAGGCCTTGGTTTGCAGGGGACAAGGTAAGTTGGATGGCTTTGGGGGTGGGGTAGCTGTCATTTTTCCCAGGTTCAGAGTTGGGTCGGCATTCATGCTTTGTCTTCCTGCAGCTCACCTATGTGGATTTCCTGGTTTACGATGTCCTTGACATGCACCGCATATTTGAGCCCAAGTGCCTGGATGCATTCCCAAACCTGAAAGACTTCATTGCTCGTTTTGAGGTGATTCCCCTGAACTCCTTAGTAT